AAAAGAATGTGACAAAATACAGCATCCTTTCTTGATAAAAACCTTCAAGAAAGTAGGGACAGAAAGATCATAACTCAAGATCATAAAAGCTATATATAAAAGACCTATCACTAATATCATCCTCAATGGGGAAAAACTGAGATCTTTCCCCCTAAGGTCAGGAACATGACAAGGATGTCCACTCTCACCACTGTTAATTCAACATAGTGTTGGAAGTTCTAGCTTCAGCAATCAGACAACACAAAGAAATAAAAGGCATCCAAATTAGCAAGGAAGAAGTCAAACTTTCACTCTTCTCAGATGACATGATACTCTACGTGGAAAACCCAAAAAACTGCTAGAACTGATCCATGAATTAAGCAAAGTTGCAGGATATAAAATCAATGTACACAAATTGGTTGCATTTCTGTACACCAATAATGAAGCAACAGAAAGAGAAATCAAGGAATCTATCCTATTTACAATAGCACCAAAAACCATAAATACCTAGAAATAAACCTAACCAAAGAGGTGAAGATCTATACACTGAAAACTATAGAAAGCTTATGAAAGAAATTGAAGAAGACACACACACACACACACACACACACACACACACACACACACAAAATGGAAAAACATTCCATGCTCATGAATTGTAAGAACAAATATTGTTAAAATGTCAATACTACCCAAAGCAATCTACACATTCAGTGCAATCACTATCAAAATAACACCAGCATTCTTCACAGAGAACAAACAATCCTAAAATTTGTATGGAACCAGAAAAGACACTGAATAGCCAAAGCAATCCCAAAAAAGAAAACCAAAACTGGAGGCATCACAATTCTGGACTTCAAGCTGTATTACAAGCTCATCAAGACAGTATGGTACTGGCACAAAAATAGACACATAGATCAATGGAACAGAATAGAGAACCCAGAAATGGACCCACAAATATATGGCCAACTAATCTTTGACAAAGCAGGAAAGAATATCCAATGGAAAAAAAGACAATCTCTTCAGCAACTGGTGTTAGGAAAACTGGACAGCAACATCCAGAAGAATGAACCTGGACCACTTTCTTACACTATATACAAAAATAAACTCAAAATGGATGAAAGACCTAAACATAATACAGGAAGCCATCAAAATCCTAGAGGAGAAAACAGGCAACAACCTCTTTGACATTGGCTGCAGCAACTTCGTACTTGATATGTCTCCAGAAGCAAGAGAAACAAAGGCAAAAATGAACAATTGGGACCTCATCAAGATAAAAAGCTTCTGCACAGTGAAGGAAACAATCAGCAAAACTAAAAGGCAACCGATGCAATGGGAAAAGATATTTGCAAATGGCATACCAGATAAAGGGTCAGTATCCACAAAATCTGTAAAGAACTTATCAAATTCAACACCCAAAAAGCAAATAATCCAGTGAAGAAATGGGCAAAAGACGTGAATAGACACTTTTCCAAAGAAGACATCCAGATGGCTAACAGATACATGAAAAAAATGCGCAATATCATTCATCATCAGGAAAATAAGATCAAAACCACAATGGGATACCCCCTCACACCTGTCAGAATGACTAAAATTAGCAACGCAGGCAACAACAGATGTTGGTGAGAACGTGAAGAAAGAGGAACCCTTTTGCATTACTGGTGGGAATGCAAACTGGTGCAGCCACTCTGGAAAACAGTATGGAGATTCCTCAAAAAAATTAAAAATAGAATTACCCTATGACCCAGCAATTGCACTACTAGGTATTTATCCAAGGGATACAGGTGTGCTGTTTCAAAGGGGCACATGAACCCCAATGTTTATAGTCCAAACGTTCACTAATTGCAAATGACACAATATTCTATGTAGAAAACCCAAAAGACTCCAGTAAAAATTTGCTAGAACTAACAGATGAATTCAGCAAAGTCACAGGATATAAAATCAAAGTACAGAAATCTATTATATTCCCATACATCAATAATGAAGCAGCAGAAAAAGAAATCAAGGAATTGATCCCATTTATAACTGCACCTAAAACAATAAGATGCTTAGTAACCTAACTAAAGAGGTGAAAGATCTATACTCTGAAAACTATAGAACACTTATGAAAGAAATTGAAGAAGACACAAATAAATGGAAAAGCATTCCATGCTCATGGATTGGAAGAACCAACATCTTTTAAATGTCTATAGTATCCAAAGCAATCTACACATTTAATGGAATCCCTATCAAAATACCACCAGCATTTTTCACAGAGCTAGAACAAACAGTCCTAACGTTTATTTGAAACACAAAATGACACCAAATAGCCAAAACAATCCTGAAAAAGAGAAGCAAAGCTGAAGGCATCATGATTTTGAACCTCAAGCTATATTACAAAGCTGTAATCATCAAACAGTTATGGTACTGGCACAAAAACAGACACATGGATGAATGTAACAGAACAGAAAACCCAGAAATGGACCCACAACTATATGGTCAACTAATATTCAACAAAACAGTAAAGAATATCCAATGGAAAAAAGCAGTCTCTTCAACAAATGATGTTGGGGAAACTGGACAGCAACATGCAGAAGAATGAAACTAGGCAACTTTCTTACACCATACACATAAATTCAAAATAGATGAAAGATCTAAATGTGAGACAGGAAACCATCAAAAATCCTAGAAGAGGACATAGGCAGCAACCTCTTCCACCTTCCAACCTTCTACCTTCCATCCACCAGTGGATGTAGCCACTTCTTACTAGACATGTTGCCAGAAGCAAGGGAAACAAAAGCAAAAATGAACTATTGGGACCTCATCAAGATAAAAATCTTCTGTACCACGAAGGAAACAATCATCAAAACTCAAAGACAGCCTAGGGAATGGGAGAAGACATTTGCAAATGACATATCTGATAAAGGGTTAGTATCCAAAATCTATAAAGAACTTATCTAACTCAACATCTAAAAAACAAACAGTCCAGTTAAGAAATGGGCAGCAGAAGACATGAATAGTCATTTTCACAAAGAAGACATCCAGGTGACTAACAGACACATGAAAAGATGCTCAACATCACTCCTCATCAGGAGATCAAAACCACAATGAGATACCACCTTACACCTGCCAGAATGGCTAAAATTAACAACACAAGAAACAACAGATGTTGGCAAGGTTGCAGAGAAAGGGAACCCTCTTGCACTGTTGGTGGGAATGCAAACTCTGGAACACAGTATGGAGATTCCTCAAAAAGTTAGAAATAGAACTACCCTATGATCCAGGAATTGCATTACTAAGTATTTACCAGAGGATACAAAAATACAGATTTGAAGTGGCACATGCACCCCGATGTTTATAGCAGCATTGTCAACAATAGCTAAACTATGGAGAGAACCCAAACGTCCATCGACTGATGAATGGATAGAGAAGAGGTGGTATGTATGTACACACACACACACACACAGGAATATTACTCAGCCATCATAAAAGGATGAAAGCGTCCCATTTGCAACAATGTGGATGGAGCTAGAGTATATACTATGCTAAGCAAAATAAGTCAGTCAGAGAAATACAAATACCATATGGTTTCACTCATGTGTGGAATTTAGGAAACAAAACAGATGAACATATGAGAGCAGAAAAAAGAGAGAGGGAGGCAAATCATAAGAGAACAAACTGAGGGTTGATGGAGGGAGGTGGATGGGGGAAGGGCTAAATGGGTGATGGGGATTAAGGAGGGCACTTGTCATAATGATCACTGGGTGTTGTATGTAAGTGATGAATCACTGAATTCTACTCCTGAAACCAATATCCCACTACATGTTAACTAACTAGAATTTAAATTAAAAATTGGAAGAAAAAAAACCCTTTCAGTACTTTTTCTAAAATGTGGCTTCCCACTTAAGATAAAGATTACAATAGCCTTCAGGCCCACCACATTACCTCTCTGATCTATATTCTTATGATTTTTTCCTTGTTCTCACCACTCCAACGACACCATCCATGCATGCCAAGTATGCTCCCTCCTCAAGCGATTTGCACTTAGTGTTTCCCATGTCTGGAATATTCTTCTCTAGCTCCATATCTACAGTGTTCACTTCTTCACCCACCTCAGATTTTTGCTCAATTGTGACTTTCTCAATGAAACCGGCCCTTATGAACATATTTATACTAGCAAAAATCACCCTGGAGTCAAAACCTCTCTATGCTTTTTCTCCATAGCACCATCTGATATATAATATTTTATTTGTTCTTTATTATTTCTATCTCCCATACTAGAAGATAACTTCCATAAAGCTAAGTCCTCTATCTTCATCATTGCTATATTGACAGTGCCTTGAACAATGGTTCTTAGCAGTTGTTCAACATAACTTGTTGAATGAATGAACGAATAAATCCAAGAGGAGCAAAAATTTTGGTTTATGGATATTTGGCATTTTCTGCTTAGACTACCAATACCACCCCATCTTTACGAATCTTATTATACGGAGCACGGTTGGCAAAGGCACAGAAAGCAGGCACTCTCACACAACTGTGAGTGGAGGTGTATAAACCTCTTTGCAAAGGTATTCTGCAATACCTATCAACTTTTTAAACGTATATGCATTTTGCCCCCCAAATCACTTTAAATTTGCCCAACGGAAATAATGGCACGGGTGCACAGCACTGCACCTGTTTTGTTTGTTTGTCTGAATCAAGACTGGAAGCAGGGGCTTCAGTTTCAGCCTAGGATGCTGGAAGCTGGAAAGAGCATCGCTGCCACCCTTAAGACAAAAATAATGCTGAACGATCTCCTGGCGTTTTATTTAAAAATAAATGAGGTTGCTCAAGCGCCACGCAGCCTCAGCGAGACAGGGGAGAGCCCAAAGTCCAGAGGGCCAGCTGCAAATTCCACACCGAACCACCGCGAGGTCCGTAAACGTACCCCCCACCCCCACCCTGGGTTCCTCAGCCCCGCTGGGGCCCCACTCAGCTCACGCATAAGTTTCCGTTTCCTGGAACTGGACTCCGCCTAGTCCGGGATCAGATTCACTTTTCAGTTTCCTTTTCCCGCTCGGGTCCTGCGTTTAACAAAGCCCACGCTTGGGCAGCGACCTCGCGCCGCCGACGCCCCGCGGGAAGCGCGCGCCGCCCGCCCGCACTCCCCGCGCACGCGCACACGCCCGCCCGCGCGCGTCCCGCCGCTCGGCAGCTGGGGAGCCCAGTCCTGAGGAGAAAGCCCGAGGGGACAGCCGCCCCTCTCCCCCCTCCCGGACGGCCCGCAGCGCCCAGCCACCATGAGGTGAGGGCTTTCCCCGCTTCTGCTCTCAGACTGCGTAGGCCTTTGTTTCAAGCCGGTGTTTTTCTTTCATTCCGTTGCCAGCGCAGCGGCACGGCCCTGCCGGGGGCCGAGCCCCTTGCGCCCTGCAGCCGGGCGTCGTGTTCGGAGCGCTCCCCGAGAGCCCTGTCCCGGTCCCGGGCGTCTGGAGTCGGGCCTGGCGGGGAGGGTGACCGCGCGCGCTTCCCGGGAGCTCCGACCCTCCAGGGCGTCCGCGGTCAGGACTGTCGGGTCGAGGAGCCAGGCGACGCGCCCCGGGAGCCTGTGCCCTCCCTGCGGCTTTTCTCCGCGGCGGCGACGGCCGTGCTTGGTTGTCGGCCGCCCCCGGGCCGTTCCCGGGCGGCTTCTACGTGGCACGCGTCGCCTGAGGCCCGTCGCCTTCCTCCCCTTCCCGGGACCGCAGCTGCCATTCCCCCCGAGGTGGACAGACGCGGTTTGGCCGCAGCCCTGCAGTTGTCACCTAGGTCTACTACTGCCATTTTGCCTTTCCGATTCTGGGTCTGAGTCCTTCCCTTCCTGGGAGCTGCCTTTGTGCCGCGTCCAGATTCTTATTGTTCCCCCCAATCCGCTATTTTACGGGGGTGTCTTCATCTGTCTCCTTTACTGCCTTTTGGTGGTGGGGTCCTTTTCTCGCCCGTTTCGTATCCCGGGGACTGGCACCCTGCCCGGTGCGTGATTAGTGAAGCAGTTAATAAGTTGACGGATGAGATTTGGGGCTCCTGAAGCTGAAAGCCCTTTCTTCTCAATCCTGACTCTGAACATCTACTAGTTGGGTGACCCAAAGCAAAGTTGCTTCCACGCTCTGAGTCTGTTCCTTATCTGTGCACATTACTGGCATCCAAATCTTAGGCCTGTGGGCTTAATGCACGGCGTAGTACCTAATATTTGCAAATGTTTACTATTATTTTAAGTAAAAAAGAAATTTAATAAGTGCCTCGCTTCTCACATCTGTAACAAGGGAGGGAGGTATCAGGAAGGTGCCTGAAGAAACGAGGAGGAAAAGGGGGGTGCTCTGTATGTGTATGCAGGATGGGCTGGAAGAGGGGTGGACCCCAGTGGGGACTTTCTCCCAAGGACGATGAAAGACTGCTTCTTCCTGAGAAAAAGCCCCAAATTGCCTAAAGATAAATGTTGCCTTTTCAGACACAATAGCCTCTCTCTGCCAGCTTCCCAGAGACTGAATTTAAAAATTAAGCAGAGTTTAAAAAATAACGTTTCTCGAGGCATCAAGTTGTGCATAAATTCCAGAGCCTGGGCAAGGCACTTCAGTGACTGAATAGCCCATTGAGATCTCACAACCACATTCGAATTACCTGAGGCAGCCCTCCTTATCGTTCTTGAGCGGGGCTGGTGTAAACCTTCACAACAAAAGCAGATGTTCATTTTACTCTGTGGATGGACAGGGGGCTGGTTAGCCCATTTGTCACCCATCTGGGCAGGCTGTTAAGGAGATGTCTTGCCTCTGAGTTTGGTGCAGTTACACCAGAGTAAGGAACAAACTACCACGGGACAGCCATACCAGGTTTCCCGGTCAGGACCATAGGAAATAGTCCAAAACTTATTTTCAGAATCAAAACATGGAGCCAGACAGAGAGTATGCCAAGATATAAAGACAAGTGGGATAGGGAGAACTGCAGTGGGAGAAAAGTTTGGAGCCATTAGCAGGAAGTGAAGAACTAGTAAGAATTCCCTCCTCTGGAATCCAGGTACTTGTTATGCTGATCGCCTATACCTCTGGGCTGGACGTGCCAGAAGTTGCCAGCATGTAACTACATTCATTCAACAAATATTTATTGAGCTTCTGTTAATTGCCTGGAATAATAGATTCTAGGGACACAGTAGTGAAAGATACAAAACTCAGAACAAGGTCCCTATTCTTATGGGGCTTAATTTAAAATGGGGGAAATAGGGGCGCCTGGGTGGCTCAATTGGCTGAGCATCTGGCTTCGGCTCAGGTCATGATCTCACAGGCTGGTGGGTTCAAGCCCCACATCGGGCTCTGTGCTGACAGCTGAGAACTTGGAGCCTGCTTCAGATTCTGTGTCTTCCTCTCTCTGCCCCTCCCCAACTCGTGCCATGTCTCTGTCTCTCAAAAATGAAAAAACATTTTAAAAAATTGCCTTTAATGGGGGAAATAAACAATAGATCAATACAGAAAGTGTTAAGAGCTACAACGAAAATAAAATAGTGTAATGGGCTAAGAAAGTGATCTAGAATGGAGGGGGCTATTTTAGATAGTTCTGCCACAGGTGGCCTCCTGGGTAGGGAATGTTGGAACTGAATTACAGGAAAGAACTAGTCATGTAAAGACTTAGGAGCAGAACATTGCAAGAATAAACACAACAGGGATAAAAGTCCTTGAATTTGATATGTTTGAGAGAGGAAGAAGGTCAATATGTCTAAAACAGTGAATGAGGAGGAAAGTAGGAGGAGAAAAGGTTGGACAGATAGATAATACCAAGTCCTTTAGGGACTTCTAGGACATGACAAGGGCTGGATTAATATTTAAGGGTGTTGGGAAGCCATTGGGAGATTTTTTTTTTTTTTTAATTTTTTTTTTTTCAACGTTTATTTATTTTTGGGACAGAGAGAGACAGAGCATGAACGGGGGAGGGGCAGAGAGAGAGGGAGACACAGAATCGGAAACAGGCTCCAGGCTCTGAGCCATCAGCCCAGAGCCCGACGCGGGGCTCGAACTCACGGACCGCGAGATCGTGACCTGGCTGAAGCCGGACGCTTAACCGACTGCGCCACCCAGGCGCCCCCATTGGGAGATTTTAAGCATGAGACTGACCTATCTGGTTCACATTTTCAAAAGTTTACTAGTACTCTGAGGGGATCAAGAGCCAATGCTGGGAGACCAGATATTTGCTCCACCTCAAAGGAAAGTTGATTGTGGTTTAGACTAGGAAGAAATGGAGTAGAAATGGAGAAAAGTGGATGGATTTGAGATGTATCTGGGTGATAGAATTAACAGGACTTCCTGTTGTATTGGATGAGAGGTTGAGGGAAGAAGAGAAATCAGATTTCTCCTAGATTATTTGGCCTGTGGAACTAAGAGTTGCCAAAAAAGATGAGGTCCTGAGGAGCAGGCTCAAGGAATCCAGATTTCTGGATTGGCTATGTTTGTTTGAGATGCCAGTTGATGTTTATTTTTAATGTTTATTTTTTTTTAATGTTTATTTTTGAGAGAGAGAGAAAGACAGTGTGAGTGGGGTAGGGGCAGTGAGAGAGGGAGACACAGAATCAGAAGCAGGATACAGGCTCTGAGCTGTCAGCACAGACCCCAACCCGGGGCTTGAACTCACATCTGTGAGATCGTGACCTGAGCCAAAGTTGTATGCTTGACTGAGCCATCCAGGTGCTCCTGAGATGCCAGTTGAACTTCTAACTGAAGATGTGAATAAAAAGTCATTAAGTTTGGAATTTAGGGCAAAGATCAGAGATCAAAGAAATATATTGGAAGATCATCAGGTCTACGTTAGAAAGTCTTGAATTGTGGGAAAAAAATATTTTAATTCACTTCTCTTAATAATGATGATAATTGGATCTTGATAACTAAGAGTTTTGCCCTTCCTTTGCACCATTTCAAAAAAATGTTTTAATCTTTATTTTTGAGAGAGAGAGACAGAGCAAGAGGGAGACACAGAATCCAAAGCAGGCTCCAGGCTCTGAGCTGTCAGCACAGAGCCCAACTCCTGAGCCAAAGTAGAACACTCAACTGACTGACCCACCCAGGCACCCCTGGTTCATTTTTAAAATATTTTTACCCAGCTTTTTTGTTGTTTGAGAGAATCACTAATCATCCTTAAGTAAATCTCTCTGCCACTCCTTATCTAAAGCACTGTGCACAGCAAGTCCTGGCGAGAAGTAGTTCATCTAAAACAACTGCAGCAATGTACAATGTTGTGACTTTAGAATGAGGGTTCATATTTGAAACCATTGTTTTCTTAACCTGAGACCTTTAAGTAAATATCTGGCATATCCTTTCTAATGGGCAGCCACACAGACCTCTTACCTGCTCTTTAAGCTGCTCTCTAAAATCCCTTTATTTTTATTTTTATTTTTTTAGGTCCTCCTGAGGCAAAGTGAATTTTAAATACATTATATATATCACATATTTTAAAGCAAGCTCTTCTGTAAACAACCTCTAATTTTTATATTAAAGAAGTAGTATACCATTATGGTCGAAAGGCATTAGCTTTTCAGTCAGGCAGAACTAGGTTTGAATCTGGGCTCAGCCAGTTTATAGCTAGCTGTGTAACCTTGGAAACGTATTTTAAACTCTTATCTCCCTGTCTTCATCCATAAAATTGGGAAAATAATAAAAGATTCTTAGAAAAATTACATATAATTCGTATAAAGTGCTTGGCACACTGCCTGGAATATAGTAAACTATCAATGAATGGTAGCTTCAGGGTTGTTCTTTTCTTTTTTTTTTTTTTTTTTAATGTTTCTGTATTTGCTTTTTTTTTTTTTTTTTTTAAGTTTATCCATTCACCTTGAGAAAGAAAGAGATCATAGGGAGAGGGGAAGAGAGAGTGAGAGAGAGAATCTCAAGCATCTCTGCACTGTCATTGCAGAGCCAGATTCAGGGCTCGAACTCACGAACTGTGAGACCATGACCTGAACCGAAATCAAGAGTCAGATGCTCAACCGACTGAGCCACCCAGGAGCCCCAGCTTCAGGGTTTTTTTGTTTTGTTTTGTTTTGAGTACTCATCTAATTCTAGATAGTATGTTATAAATAATATAACATTCATACTAACAAACTGAATCTGCAGTGAGCCCAGGTCCTTTGTTTAAGTTGTTTTTTTAAAATATGTCCTTGTCTGTCATTTAATTTAGCTCTTCACCTTGAATAAATAGCAGAAATTTCAAGTTAAAGGAAAGCTCTAACCTGTTGGGCTTGAAATCTTTTTATCTGTTAAGCCCTATAGGCCCAGTGTCTCTAACTCTCCCATCCCATATAGTAGCCATTAGTCATATATGTGGTTATTGTAATTAATTAAAAGTAAATAAAAAATTAGATTCCTTACCTGTACTAGTCACATTTCAAGTAATCAGTGGCCACATGTGGCCAGTGTGTCATATTATACAGCACACATAAGAACATTTCCATCATTGCAGGAAGTTCTTTTGGAAAGCTCTGGTGTAGAACCTACTACGTATGCTAAAATGTGAGACCTGTATATTTAATTTTATTAATTAATTATAAACTTAAATGCCCCCTAAATATAATATTAAGTCAATTATTTATGTTTACATTTAGTATTTATAAAAATTGGAAAACAATTCATGGAGTAGTATTTGAGTTATAAATATGAAATGGTTTTATTTTTCCAATCACTACTACTAATGTGCAATTAATTCAGTTCTCTAACCCATCTGTTACTTTTTGCTATTAGGACAGCCCCTTTCCAGTTCCTAAAGACTCTGTCTGATTCCATTTAAAACCTCAATCTCATATTTTTTGGGTTTTTTTGAGAGAGAGAACATGCATGCACAGGCAGAGGAGGGGCAGAGGAAGAGAGAGAATCTTAAGCAGACTCTACACCCAGCACTAGCCTGGCATATGAGATTATGACCTGAGCCAAAATCAAGAGTCATACACTTAACCAACTGAGACACCCAGGCGCCCCACCATATGTGATTTAAAGCATTCTTCTCCTCCTTCTCACCCCCCACCAAATATTGATGTAAGTGCTCTACAGAAAGGGAAATGTGATAGACTAGACTTTAGGATGACTGGCAAGGTGGGGGTGCAGCTTTAGCTAAGGTGATTAGGGGTACCACTCTTTAAAGCGCTGACATTTGAGCCAAGACAAGAATTGTGAGAATAAGTAAGCCCTAGAACTCTCCTTAGGAAAAGTTCACAGAATGTGGGAATAAAAAGTACATGCAGATGCCCTTAGGTAGATACGTACTTCACAGAAGAAATAACAAAGAAATTTTTTTAAAGGACTGTATGGCTGGAGTGCAGTGAGTGGGAGGAAAGTTGTACAAAATGAGGCCAGAGAAGTAGTCAAGGGCTGGATGACATGGTTAGGAGTTTGAGACTGGAGATAAAGATTTGAATATTAACAATGTATAGCTTCGCTTCTGCGTCATGTTCTATCTTTCTTGCAGTTATCCTCACCTCTCTCCCCCAAGCATCATTTTTTCCCTTACTACTGGATCATTCCTATTGGCATATCATTAAGTTATTAAAAATATTGTGAGTAAAAATTATTTTGACGATTCCCTCAGCCTCCTACCTTCCTTCCAGATATAGCTCTATTTCTCTACTTCCTTCATAGCAAAATTCCTTGATAAGAGTGGCCTGTATTCCCCATATCCACTTCTTTACCTTGCATTATCCCCTCAACCCACTCCAGTAATATTTTCATCCCTACCATTCTAGTGAAACACTTAACATGGTCCTCCACAGCTTACTCCTGCTAAAACTGTGATCTCCTGTCTGTCCTCGATTACTCAATCTCTTAGAATCATTGTACACTTGCATATTGATCTCTCTTTCTCAAAATAAACATTTTCTTCCTTAGGCTTTCATTGATACTAGGTTTCTTAGTTTTCCAGCTCCCTCACTGATTATTCTTTCTTGGCCTCCTTTCCTGGTCATTCTACTCTGCTTCATTTAGAGTGTCCTGCGGCTTAGTTTTTGACCTTCTCTGTCTATGCTCACTCCTTAGGTAATTTCATTCTAGATATTGTGGTTTTAAAGTTCATCTGCATGTTGATGACTCCCAATTTTATATCTGTAGTTCTAACTTCACTCCTTGTTCCTGGTATTTTCTTCATTAATATCCAACTTCATACTTGGTATCTTCACTTGAGTGTGTAATAGACATCTCAAAATTAATATTTCCAAATAGTCCTCTTGATTTATCAACTTACTTCCTGAAGTCAAAAGCATAGGCATCATCCTGCATTTCCTCTTTTCCTTATGGCCCTCCCTACACCCAGTCCATCAGAAAGACCTGTCAACTCTGCCTCAAATATAACGAGTCCAGTCCTCACTAACCCCATACTGCAACCACAGTGTAAGCTTGCATCATCTCTCCTTGGATTTCCTCTACAGCTTCTTTCATGTCTCCTTCAGGGAGATTTGCTCTGGCCATGTTCTTTAAATTTTAACCACTTCTCAGAACCCTTGCCAACTTTCCATTCCCCCACCACCACCCTTTCTGCTATATTTTTCTTTTTATTACCATCTCACATACTCTATACTTTCATTTATTTTTTTTCCATTTATTTTTTTGTCTTTTCTTGGTATACACCACTGTCTATCTATTATAAGCTACATGAAGTCAGGTTGTTTTTTCTCTTTTGTTAACAGGTGTATCCCAACACTTAGAACAGTGCCCTCTACATTGTAGGCTCTTAGTACATCTTGGTTGAATAAATAATTTCCCTACCAGTTTCCCAGCTTCCTCTCTTGATGCTTGATTGTCCATTCTCCTCAGAGCAGCCAGAGGGATTTTTTTTTAAAAACTCTTACTTCAAATTGCCCCTTTCAAAAAGGCTATTCATTCACAATTATAACGGAAGTACTCCCCCAACCACCATCACCCTTAATCCCATTACTCTGATTTTTTTTTTCTTAGCTTAATTAACATTTACTACTATCTGGAATCATAGTGTCCATTTGTTTTCATATTGATTTGTTTACATATTTGTTTTCCATCAACTCCTTTTGTTCCTTCCTCTCCCAGAATGGAATTGCCATGAAGAAAGGGCCGTTTTCTAACTTGTTCACTGCTATATCCATACAACTAGAATATTGCCTGGCATATATGACATGAGGTGGTCAATAAATGTTTTGAGGGCACTATTACTATAATTCCCAAAGACATTTATATAACTATTTCACATACAAGTGGGTGGAGGATTCTGTGTGCATCAGAAAGGGAAATAAACATACATTCACACACACATGCCCTGTATACTGTTCATCCCATAATTAGGGCATTTTCGTCTTTGAGAGAAGACTTAAGGAATTTATTTTCTGTACATTTCTTAATTATAGTTAATAGTAGATTTAGAAAGTCTTTCCTGACTGCCACACCACCACTACCAGCAAAACAAATGAATAAAGCCAGAAATGTTAATTAGTTGCAGACAGTAGAAACCTAATTCAGAGTGGCTTAAGCAGACAGAGAGAGGTTATTTCCTTAAGTAAATAGAAGTCCAGAGTAGACGAGGTGATCCAGGCAAAACTAGTTACTGTCATGAACAATTTCTCTTTCTTCCCATCTAAGCTGTGCTTTCCTCTCTGTTAGATTGTTTCTCAAGCAGGCTGACTCTCCTCGAGTTTGGAAAGATGTCCACCGGCAAATCTAAGCTTATATCCTACCAACTTAAACTTTTTAGAAGGAAGGTGGATAGTTCTATCAAAGTCCCATTTCAGCACAATTGTATTTTAATTGGACTATCTCTGAATAAATCCCTGGGACCAGGTGATGGCCGGAATATCATGTGTCTTCCCAGACTAAGCAGTAGACATCCCATTTCAAATCACATAGACTGAGAGTAGAGGGAGATGTTCCAGAAATGAAAACCAAAAGAGGCATCCTTACCAAGTAAGAACCACAGATGTCCACAGCATCGGATTACGTATGTTTCCTGGGTCACTTGCAAGAAACTTCATGCCGAGTTGTAATTGACTACTTATAAGGTCTGTATAAGCAGGGCTGTGTCTTGTTCGCAGTTACATACCAAGGGTTATCTAGAAACTCTTACACATAAAAGGTTCTCAGTAAAGAATAAATATTTCCTTGTCCTTCCTTTTCCCTTCATCTTCCTAGTTTCAGAGACAGTGTTTCCAGTGTGCCCTGCAGATATTCCATTGTGCCTTGCACAAAGGGAGCTCAACAAATATTGTAAAGTGAATTTTAGGGGCAATGATAGGGTAATAATAAGTATTAGCTATTGTTGCCCACAACCCCAGAGTTCAGAAGGATGTAGCACTTAATATCAAATTTACTAAGCTTACTAAATTTCCTTTTGCCTTTCCCCCATCTATTTGGAAATATCTGTTACTCTCCTTTTATCTGTCTCAAACTTATGCTTCTCCTCATCTTGTGGTATACCAGTTACTGTGTGTTTCTGTGACTTTTCTCTCTGTGGGGTTTCCTTCCTTTCCTTCGTCTCTCTCTCCTTCTCGTCCTTCCTTCTTTCACAAAAATGATGCATTGGTATGGCTTCTGTGTCTCCTCCAGTGTGCTTCTTTTTCTTATTTCTCACCTCCTCTTCTCCCCCTTCCTACTCATAATACAGAAGTGTAATTTTTATATTAATTATTGACTGTGTATATAGTTATTAGTCTTAATTTTTAAGGCAAGTAAATAAAAACATTTTAAATTCCCTTTTGTAAAAATTGGAGGTACTGGTGGGTTAGTGACTGCCAAAGGAAATATATATTCGGTGACATAGAAAACCCTGACATCTCTCCAGAGCTGCTTTTGCAATAAATAATGAGAATATTTCTAGACTTTAACTCTACACCAAGGAAATTAGTATAAAGTTGTAGGGGACTAGTGCTTGAACTGTAAGATCAAATAAAAGATAGAAGTGTTGTTAAGCAAAAAACAGTATTTAAGGTTTAAAGATTGATTATTTCCTTTATTTCTTCAAAGTTAAAAAGGATTTTATCTTTGCAGTGAAATTCCTAAGGACTCCTTGAAGGCCCTTCTGTTGGAGTTAGAATGTCACTTTACATGGAATTTACTTAAGGAAGACATTGACCTGTTTGATGTGGAAGATACAATTGGGCAACAGCTTGAATTTCTCACCACAAAATCCAGACTCACTCTTTATAACCTATTGGCCTATGTGAAACACCTAAAAGGCCAAAATCAAGATGCCCTAGAATGCTTGGAACAAGCAGAAGAAATAATCCGGCGAGAACATTCAGACAAAGAGGAAATACGAAGTCTGGTCACTTGGGGAAACTATGCCTGGGTATATTATCACATGGACCAGCTCAAAGAAGCTCAGAAGTATATAGACAAGATAGCAAACGTTTGTAAGAAATTGTCTAGTCCTTCTAACTACAAGTTGGAGCGTCCTGAGATTGACTGTGAAAAAGGGTGGGCACTCTTGAAATTTGGAGGAAAGTATTACCAAAAGGCTAAAGCAGCTTTTGAGAAGGCTTTGGAAGTGGAACCTGACAATCCAGAATTTAACATTGGCTATGCCATCACGGTGTATCGGCTGGATGATTCTGACAGAGAGGGGTCTATAAAGAGCTTTTCTCTGGGTCCTCTGAGGAAAGCTGTTACCCTGAACCCAGATAACTCCTACATTAAAGTTTTTCTGGCACTAAAGCTTCAAGATGTACATGCAGAAGCTGAAGGGGAAAGGTATATTGAAGAAATCCTGGACCAAATATCATCCCAACCTTATGTCCTTCGTTATGCAGCCAAATTCTACAGGAGAAAAAATTCCTGGGACAAAGCTCTTGAACTTTTGAAAAAGGCCTTGGAGGTGACACCAACCTCTTCTTTCCTGCATCACCAGATGGGACTTTGCTATAGGGCACAAATGATCCAAATCAAGAAGGCCACGCGCAACAGACCTAAAGGAAAGGATAAACTAAAAGTTGATGAGCTAATTACATCTGCTATATCTCATTTCAAAGCAGCTGTGGAAAGAGACTCTATGTTTGCATTTGCCTACACGGATCTGGCCAACATGTATGCTGAGGGAGGCCAGTATAGCAATGCTGAAGACATTTTCCAGAAAGCCCTTCGTCTGGAGAACATAACTGATGATCACAAACATCAGATCCACTATCACTATGGCCGCTTTCAGGAATTTCACCGCAAATCGGAAAGTACTGCTATCCACCATTATTTAGAAGCCTTAAAGGTCAAAGACCGGTCGTCCTTACGCACCAAATTGACAAGTGCTCTGAAGAAATTAGCTATCAAGAGACTTGGTTACAATGCTTCAGATGTGCAGAGTTTAAGTGCTCTAGGGTTTGTTTACAAGCTGGAAGGAGAAAAGAGGCAAGCTGCTGAGTACTATGAGAGGGCCCAAAAGGTAGATCCAGAAAATGCAGAATTCATTACCGCTCTCTGTGAACTTCGACTTTCTATTTAAACACATACTCTAGGAGATTAGTTATAAGCTTTTGTCTCCATTTTGGGTTGTATTTTTTGTTTATTATTTTAATCCATTGTTCATTATAGAGCCAATTCTTTTGAATGATTATTATGTACTAAGCATTATGCTAAATACTATTTTATATACGTAATGATGAATCTTTTTGCTGTTTTCTTCTCTTTTAAATTCATATAATCCTTTGAGAAACAGAAACATTTCAGCTCTTATAACTCTTAAAAATGGTTTGGTCATTATGACTTTATACCCTTTATCGTTGTTATTTTTTTTTTTTTTTTTTTTTTTTTTTTTTTTTTTTTTTTTTTTTTTTTTTTATTTTTGAGACAGAGAGAGACAGAGCATGAACGGGGGAGGGGCAGAGAGAGAGGGAGACACAGAATCGGAAACAGGCTCCAGGCTCCGAGCCATCAGCCCAGAGCCTGACGCGGGGCTCGAACTCACGGACCGCGAGATCGTGACCTGGCTGAAGTCGGACGCTTAACCGACTGCGCCACCCAGGCGCCCCTATCGTTGTTATTTATAATAAGTTTTTATTAAATTTTATCAAATTTCCCATATTATTCACACATTGAGTATAATTCTGCATAAACGCTTGACACCTAGGTCAGGAATATTCTTTCAGCAGAATTATATTAGTTAAGCTTTTAACTGTGTAGCTTGCAGAAGATGAACCCTTCAGTTACAGATGTTCTCACTTTGAGAACCTGATAGTCACCTAAAGAATCCTCTTTGGTGAAAGAAAAATGTTCATAATAATAAAAAACTTGTTATCTATGGTGACTTTAATAAAAGGAGAAAAATCTAGAACAGGAAAAAAAATTTCTTTAAATACAGAACTAAGGGACCCGTGAGAAATCACAAGCATTATCTCCCAAAATGTTCATTAAGTAGCTAGAAATAGTTGTGAGAAAAAAAATGAATGGAAAATCATATCTCAAGTTTCTCTGGTTCTTTTAACTAGAAGAATGAACTTAAACTAATCTAGATGAAATTAATTTTATTCTTTCACATTAAAATTGCAGTATTTTTAGTTTAAAATCGTTAAGCTTGAAAGCAGACTAATTGGGAAATTGGGAGAAATGATAGACAAATGGGTAAAATAGATGTCCCTAACATACATCCCTAGATTAACAAGATTTCAGTGATTTGGGTTTCGGTCTGGACTGGATCATTCTCATACCCCCAATTTCTGATCTTCGGTTCACTATTTTAGTATTCTGAAGTTACTTCTGTGAATCTTTTTCTTTTGTCTAAAGTTTTCAGACTGACATGTTTTCCTATAGATCCTTTCAGTTTTAATATCCATCTTGAAGGGTCACTGCTTAAGGGCGCTTACCCCAGGGGACATTGTTAATTGGGATATTGCTAAAAGTAGCATCTCTAATGTTGCTTCTTTGATTATGGACTACACAATTATATTTACCACCACAGTATTAGTGGGAAAGTGTGCCATGTGATTTAATTCTCCATACCTCTACTGTAGCTCTGAAAACTACTGTATATATGTTTGTGTGTTTTTTACTTTTTGTTACTTTTTAAATTTTTTTTCCTGTTATGGTTTTGATTATTACAAAAGTAATGAATTCTCACTGTAAAATTTCAAACTTAACAGAAGCATATGAATTTAAAATAAGAGCACTCCCCTCACCCTTCCCTAATTCTATGCCCCCATGGTAATCTGTTAACAATTTAATATGTATCCTTCCAGATATTTTTTCAATGCATATTCAAACATACATCCATACTACAATGTATTTCATAAATTAAATTTTTAAAAATGTTTGTTTTACTTAAGCCCCTGCTGTTTTTGTTTATTTTGCTCATTTGCTTATTCAAGAAAGAAGAATGGGAAGGGAATGATCTTTACTTAAGTATTTCAGAAATTTGGGACTGAAGTCCTGACCTATCAGTAGAAGCTTGTGTTACACTCTGCAGCAAATATTTTATTTTGCAGCAAGTCATTTTCCCCCACTGGGAATAATGTAATTAAGGTTATATTCCCAAGTAAGGAATTTGCACACAATGTAATACAGATATGGTATCAAAACAATGGCACAACTATAAGCCTCTATTTAAATACTTAAATAGAGTCTATTAAGTGACTTTAAAATTCACTAGAGGGGCGCTTGGGTGGCTCAGTCAGCTGAGCATCTGACTCTTGATTTTGCCTCAGGTCAGGATCCCAGGGTCATGAGATAGAGTCCCACGTGGGACTCCACACTGAGTGTGGAGCCTGCTTAAGATTCTTTCTCTCTCTCTCTCTCTCTCTCTCTCTCTCTGTCTCTCTCCCTGCCCCTCTCTCATGCTCACTCTCTTAAAAAAAATAAATAAAATTTACTAGATATTATAACATACCAACATATAAGAAGTCATAAACACCAAGAAAGTATAAAATTGGTATATGAAAAATACAACTCTATAAAACACTGAACTAAAATTAGTGTGCTTATAATAACTGTAAGTTTTGTCACTAATTTTGGGCTTGCCTTCCTAAAATTTAAAACTAGAGATAATTTCAGAGAGTCTTAGGTTTTAAAAAGACCTCAGAGTTCATTCACCTTTATCAATTAACCATCAAAACTTGGAGCTTGAATTATCTTCCTAAATGATAATTTCATCTTCAGATAGTCCTAATCTTAGAAATTTGTTCCTTCCATTTAACTGCATACTTTTGGCCTGAAGTGTATACATTTTGGTCTGTCTTTAGGGGCCTCAAAGATCTAATCCTTTTTAGAGGTGACATTTTGTATCAAAACTCTTGATTGCAGGTGGCATAAAACCTAGCTCAAACTGACCTAAGCAAAAATGGGAATGTAATGGCTATTGTAATTTAATAGTCTAGGGGCAGTACTAGGTTCAGATAAATTTGAGGGACGAGTCACCAAATACATATCAGTGGCTATTATTGTAAGTCAAGTGATGCTGAGTAGCCAAAAACCAAGTGTCTACTATATATGTCTAAAAGTATTTGAAGACAATTGCTCTCTGTCCCCTAAGAATTCTTTAAGTTAAGCATGCTATTTTCTTTCAGCCCACCCCCATCTCCATCATGGTCAGTTTTAGTTCTCTCCAAATTGTCTCTACCCTTTGCTAATGGTTTGTGCTCAAAGTTTAACTTAATACCCAAACTGAGGTTTTAGGACTATAGTAGAATGATCCTTTCTTTTTTCTATGAACTATACTCCTATTAATGTGGCCCCAACCAAAATATCTCCTTGGTATCTACCCATGTGTAGGTTTTTCCACCCATGCCATTTAAAGGTATGTTTTTCATATCCTATACCTGAGCATTTGGCTTTTAAAAGTGCTTTATGTCACTTGGTAGCATTCAGCACTTCAATTCAGATAACCCATACCTCTTTAAAAAGTTGAGGAAAAGTTTATATATAAAATGCTACTCATTGCAAATAACAACAGATAATGGAATCCTAACTTAAGTTGTCTTTAAAATAGTAGCAGAAATAAATCTTGTTTTCAAGCAAGACCTAATCTTAAGAGGTGTGACCAAGACATAATCACTCTACTCAGCTCTGATCAGATTTGGCTCCATTCTGAGAAAGCTCCATCTTTGTGATACTAAGATGGCTGCCGCATGTACTCTTATCCCAATGCAGTGGAAAAGAGTGTATTTGTTCTCCCAGCCGCTTAAGAAGTCTAGCTTTGCTCTCTGATAGGACTGCCTTAAGTGATATGCCATTCTCAAATCAGTCATCATGGCCAGGGAGGAAGTTATGCTCATTAGTTAGGCCTGAGACACATAGCTGACCCTGAACGAAGAATGGGGAGAAAATGGACTCCCCTAGAAGCATATGGATTGCAAGCTGCAGGGGTGAAATTTTCAGGAAACTTGGTAGTGGATACTGACAGCCAAAACACCATGGGTATATAGATTCAAATTAATACCTTCTAACTCCACTGCATACATTTCTCGGTAGCAAGTAAAATATTTTGGAAAGGAGTTAGAGTCATTCTTATCACTGAAGCCCCCAGTAAACTTTCTGATGGGATCCCAAGTGCTGTGTCTCCTTATTCTGGTTCTCTTAATTCCTCTTCTTTATTCCTTCAGATCTGCACTCCACCTTGGCATCATAGAGGGCAGCCTGGTAAGGGGGTGGTATGTGGAAGATGGAGGGAAGGAAGAAGTCAAACTCACACTGTAGTGATGGTTACCAACTGTAATTCAGACAACTTCAAAAAATAAAACAACCAGAGGCATTATGGACTGTGTTAATTGAATAAACTATATCCAGTAAAGCTGAGCAGCCCTTGAAAGGGCCATCACCAGCTTATTCACCAGCTGCTGTGAGGTCTCCAGGTCTTGAACATGACTAGTTCAAATTCAAGGTGACAAAAGTAGAGAATAAGAGTGGGCATGGAAATATCTGGACATCAAAGCCCAAACAGATTACATACGTGAGATATATACTAAATTAGCATTACGGTTTTTACGTTCCCTAGGTGAAATTGTACTGCAAAGTTTGAGAGCCTCTGGCCTAAAATATGGAAAATAAGGACAGAGAATATATTCTCTATCCATCATCTATCTATCTAATCTATATTACTAAGCTACTAAGTGATGAGACTAGGACTTAAAACCAGACCCAACCTAAATTTGTAGTCTACTCTCTCTCCATCATATCAGTGGTTCACAACCCTAACCCTAAATTAGAGTCATTGATTAAGCTTTTTAAAAATAAAATTCCAAGGTTCCCCCCACAGACTACTAAACTAGAACCTCTACGGGTGAGATCTGGAAGTTTACATATTTACAAAGCACCCAAAGTGATCCTGAGGATTAGCCAGGTAGGGAAATAGCTGTTACAGCCTACAACACCACTGGTGGGTGGCCTTGTTGTTCTATATCCTATGCATTTCATTTGCAACTAGAAATCCTAAGGGCAACTGTATATGTGTTAGGTGAAAGTTAACAGTCCAAATTTAGACACAATTCTCAACCTGTTATGTGCAAGCTCTCCAAA